GCTTTTTAGAGGCCAATTTGGCCTTGTCTTCCAAGTGACCACGAAACTGCACGTCATTCGATATGTAGATGCCGTGGATTCCCATACTGGCTGAGGCAACAAGGGGAGTACCTTGAAACTGAGGAGATACGACAAAGAGGTTCTTTTTAGCGGTAAACGCACAAAGTTGTGTCTTCTGAGGATTAAACTGGTCTAGATTTAGTCGCCCCCAATCCGAAACTTTGTCCAGCAAAGACTCGTCTTCAGACACAAGATTGTTCCGGTACTCAGCGACGTTTTCCCGAAAAATATTGGCACGGCCGGTGTATAGAGCATCACCAGTGCTGTGATCCGCATAACAATGAATGTTACCGGTTTGCATCATATCATTGACATGCAGATGAAACAGCGTTGGTGATAGCACGCAGCCTTGTGGAACACCAGCATTAATAGGCATACATGTAGTCGGAGTATGCACCATCTACAACGACCTTGATGATCCGATCTGCAAGAAAGCTGGTGATCCAATTGCACAATTTCTCGGGTAGACCATAGGAAGGGAGCTTCGAAAGAAGTGCTTTGTGCTAAACCCGATAAAAAGCCTTCGTAATGTCCAAACTAACGGCCCATGCCTCCCCCTTGACTCTACTGCCTCCGCCCAGATGGGCGGAGGCAGTAGAGTCAAGGATGAGTCAGGTAGACCAGAAGATCACCAGCTGATTGACCCCGACGAAAACCGTATTGGCGGTCACTTGTCAGCTGGTGATCCTCAAAGTACTGCATGAGCTGGCAGTTTATAATAGATTCCATTATTTTGGAGAACAAGGAGGTGATGGCGATAGGCCTGTAGTTGGACGGATCTGACTCGGGTGGACTTCCATGATTTCAGGACTAGGGCTACGAAGTAGAAGTACCGGAAAAGATGCGTTAGAACTGGTGCCAACTTCAGAGCACACGTCCTTAACACAATTGGGGAATACCGTCAGGCCCACTCGACTTCTGGATGTCCAAGGAGAGGAGTACTTTGCAAATCGAGCGCTGTGAGAACCGCATATCCAGCATGGAGCGCTCACACTGCGGGATGGTCGGCGGTGTGTTCCCCCCGTCATCAAGAGTCGAGTTGGACGCAAAAAGGGAGACCAAAAGGTCGGCTTTCTCTTTTGCGGCGTGGGCCAGTGAGTCGTCTACCCTGTGCAGAGATGGTAGTGATGGCTTACAGAAATTCCCTTGGACAACCTTGGCGAGAGACCAGAATGCACAGGTTCCCGAAGGAAGGCGAACTAGTTTCTCGCCAATTCTGCCTATGTGCTCTGACTTTGCCTTGGGAACAACTCTTTTGAAGGACCTGGAGGCGAAGTTATACTTCTTTTTAAGTATGCTGGTGTTTACATCCCGAGCCGCCGAAGCCTCAGCCCTGGCCTGATAACACTCCTGCTTACTGCATAATGCAGTCTTACAGGAGCGACCAAACCATGGCTGAGATCTGCCTCCGATGAGTACCAAAGATGATGGAATAAATAGTTCCATTCCCTGTAGCACTACATCAGTGATAAAGTCAGCAACAGCGCTGGGATCATCCGGTGAGAAGCAAACCCCCGTGGGTAGATGCAATGAAGGACTGCATTCCGTCCCAATCCGCCGACCTGTAATATCAAACACGGCTCCAACCTGCAGAACGAAACCGCGACGAGAGCGTGAGTGACACCACACTCCGGATCAGACCATGGTCCGAAGAGCCGAGAGGGGCATCGAGGGAAACCTGATATCCGTCCAGATGAGAGGTCAGCAGAAGGTCCAACAAGGAAGGTGTATGATCCTCCACATTTGGAATCCGCGTAGGCAAAGTAACCAGTTGTGTCAGACCATATGCCAAGGCAAAGTCATAAAAGGATCTCCCCGCATGATCGGTTAAACGTGAACCGAGCCATTCGACGTGGTGGAAGTTAAAATCGTCATGGATCACGATCTCTGCGGATGGGACCTGTTGTAGCAAGTTGTAGAATCTGTAGCCATTTGGACAAGGTCGATGAGGCGGTCTGTTTCGGCATTACTGCTATAGGATCTATAGAGGCACCCGTAGACGCGCGGATGGTCGTCGCTGTCTACGCGTAGCCAAAGGATGGACAGGTCCGAACCTTCAAGAATGCCGTGGCGTCGAGAACAGATGTCCTCTCTGACATATACGCAAACTTCAGCCCGAGGCACAAATGAGTGTTCCAATTTCTACCCCGGATAGGAGAGATATGAAGTATCAGCCGGAGAGGACACACCTGCGTCTCGGTCAGAAAGAGCAAGGTCGGCTTCGCTGTCTCTAGATGGTAGTGGACGGCATTTAGGCTCGAGTGAAGTCCCCTGATGTTGCAGAAATTCACGGATAGCGTGGCAGGGGTCGCCTTGGTCTTGTTGCTCAGTTTGCCCCGAGCAACACGCGAGGCAGCCTGAGCATCCACTCAGGAGTGGAGTAGCATGGTCGTGGATGCTCAGCGACGGATTCTCCAAGGGTGCTGGTACCCTCCTGGGGTAGTCTTTGATTTAATTCCGCTACCATGTTTTTGGGGGAGGGGGGGAGGGGTTTGGGCCTCTGGCCACCTGCACTCACCAGACGAAACGCAGACGCAGACGAAAGCAGCACGTCGGTATTCTGTGAGGTCGTGGTACCAACTCGGCTCGAGCCGGCCCATACGTGCAACAGCAAAAGGTATCACTATGCATAGGTTCAACTTACCCGAGTGCGGTTGTCTGGCAGTGTCCACAGCGAGTATCTCATTCAACGGGATCTCTTTGTAATACTTGGAGCCTTGTTCGGACGTGAAGAGCGTTATAGACTTGCTGTCCAACCGCCAGTAGTGGCGTCTGATCTGGAATAGTGTAAACAATAAGGGCTAATAATTATCCGCGCATCAGATGTTACTCTAGTTTGGACTGAGGTGAAGTTATTTGTTATACAGTGTCACCATAAGTGAAAAGTTGCGTTTCAAATAAAACTTTTTCGATTTCTAGTGTACTCTTATGTACACACAACAATGGCTCAGAGGTTGCTCTTTAGTTTTTTGCACATTTTAAACTTTCATTTTAATTATTTTACTTTTGGAAATATTGTGGTTTGGTTTATTCATTTAAATCTGATTAATTAAAATATAACTAATATTTAAAAAATAAACGTAAGTCTTTATATTTTCCTAAAGATTTAACCTCCGCTCAACGAAATCTCCTTATTTCAAAGTGGCGCCGCCCGGGTGGCTAAAAAGTTGTTTATGTCCTCGATTTTGATTTGAGCTACCTTTTGCTTGCTTAATAGTCTCCACGTGTCGCTATCGGGTTACTAGTTGTCAACTTTCCTTCAACATGTACATTTCTAAACAGGTGTTGTTTGTGATGTCTCGCCTGTTTTAGGTTTGATAAAAGTTCACTGGACATTGGCTTATCACGTTGTAGGGAGAATTTCACAACACATCATGCATCTTTGACGTTTTTTGCTCGTTTAAGCCAGACCAGCGGGTCTGGCTTAAACGTTTGGCTTGAGCGGGTTTTTATACCGCCATCTATCGGAAGCCACAAGAGTCTGTTATTTACCATACACGCCTCTAACAATACAATTGTACTGCAAGTAACAAACCAAATGGTGCTTATATAGAAAGTATAAATGTAAGTGTTCTGTCTCTTTTTAGAATTTGAATTCAATATACTTGTTCTGCATTCAGATATTTTGAGGGTACTTTTGTATTTTTAAAAGCAACAGTAGCTTAATAGTAGTATGCGGGCCGCGAACTCAAAAGATTGTGGGTACGAATCCGTCATTCGACTATTGACGTGGACCATTTCTAACACAAACATTTTAAGCTTACCAGGAGTAGATAAAGGGAATGTTAGTAATGTTAATAGCATTGCTAGTATTTTCTCTATAAAAAACTTTTAGGGGTGGCTTTCTGTACTATGTTACTGAGCTCATGCCTTTCTTCTCACTGCAGAGCCGTAACTTACCGTTTTATCCTTATTAGTGAAATGAACCATCCAGCCTTCCTTCAGCCATTGCCCCTCCCTCTTCTTGGTGTGCTTCACGGATTGTACAATACGCATGAGCGGTATATTGGCGCTGGGCGATGAGGACGAGCTGAAACAGTCAACACATCAGCTCCATCTGGGTTGGGAGACGTTTGGAGTATAAAAGGTACAGGTGCTGTGGTGGCGAGGGTGTTTAGGGGGGTTTCTCGTAGCTCATAAAAATAGCTAAAAAAGCTATTTTTGTAATAGAAATAAAAAACAAAAGTTCTGCATTCATTTTGTGGCGGCGCTGCCGTTACACACGTGAACAAACCTAAATTACGCTTTTTAAATTTCCGAAGGACATAGAGCATTTACCGCTCCCCGGGCTGAACACTTTGTCCGGTATTTATTTTTATGAACTTTAATCAAGGATATATAGAGGTGTAAGTGCTATAGCATTCACTTACAATTAGGTTGTATGTCAAGCGTTTTTATATACAAAATTGATTATAAGCTATATCTTTATTTTTCTAAATACATAAATATCTGCCTTATCATAATTATCAAGTAAACGTGTAAATAAATAAATTAAATATGATCTATTATAAATACCGTTGAGTTTAATGTTCAAAGAAAAGTTATTAATAACATGCAATTATTATGATAATTACAAAATATTTTATTACAATCCGCCCGAAATCTGAATGCGATGGAACTTTCTTCTTCTTGTACTTATTTTTTTTACTAGGGGTAGGCCTTCCTTGTTCCTTATATAATATTGTCGAAATTAATTGAAAATGACAGCTCTAGAGCAAAGTAGGGTTAGCAAAAGTTTTAAATATTTAACATTTATTTATTTGTACAATCCCTACAAGTAAATACAAGTAATATTTACTTCTAGGTATTACTAAAATACACAAAAATATTTCATGTTTGTAATAATTTTATATCTTATTTGATCGTTCAAGATACAACTTTTTTTTTAAACTTTTTATATATTTATAAACAAACCATTTTTTCATAATTTTTCTTATTTTAAATTTTATATTTGCCTACACAATAACGTCAATCACAAAAAAAAAAACAAAGATAACAATTATAATAAGCACTAGCAAAAATACACGTCAAATAAGTCTATCGTCTCGCGCACTATCACGTGAGTTTGCGGACACTACAGCTGGTGGGCGGTTATCGCGTGCCTCAGTTCCAAAAGGTCGCATCCCATTCAGAACGCGCGCGGAGCATAAACAGATATTTTTTAAATAATGTCTACAATTTTATGAAATAGGAAAATAGAATATTGCGAAAAGGTTCAAGAAGGAGAAGAAACCTCAAAACCCCACCACCGCACAGCACCAAACACATCCACTACAGTCACCTGCTAGGTCTACTGGCCGACCGATCTGGCAGGGTGTCCCTTTGCGGTTCCTCCGAGTCCTCCACACGCCTTCTAAGCTGCACCTTGGACGAAACAAATTTATCATATAGCATTTCTTAATACGTATACGTTTTGAAAAGGATTTACGAGCGGCGAGTCTTTTAGGCGGTCTTCCAGTTACCTACACCAAACACTTTTTGATTCGCGGTCGGTATGTGTCACATGGAAGAAACTGGACACAAAAAGTGTCTGCGTCTGCGCAAGGAATGGCTAATTTCATATTGATTACATAAATGAAAAATAAATGAATATAAAATATTCACTGGTAGCTTGTATCCCACACAAGACACTAAAGTGTCTACGTTTGCGCAGCGCCTTAGTCTCCTCCCTGGATAATGATACTCGAGGAAATATTTTAAATATTTCTTTTTATAACCTTTGTCTACTACTGTGACGTTCCTATGTTTTGTTTCTTCCTATGATTTTTTTTAAACTAGGAACGTTCTAAAATTACTGAAACTGCCCAGTTAAACCGCCGTTATTAGACATCCATCAAACAAATTCAAGCAGTTTTAGGTCCAGTTACGGGGAAATGAACAGGGGAATAAAAGATGATGATTTTATAAAATTTTCATAAGTATAATCAGTGTGAGTTGGAATCAGAGAGAAACTCGACCAGGAGATGAAAAAATAAAAAAAACTGCGCTTGTCAACCTGCTTGCCAAGCATGGCAAATATGGCAAATATCGTAGAAGTCAATCTACGAGGAACGCCTATGTTCAGCAGGAGACTTTTGATAAGCTTGCAATTAAAACAAGGGCTGACTTTAATGGTTTCTGGCATTCCATCCAACTCAACCCGGGACTTGATAAGGATACGATAGCATACAAATAGTAAAGCGATGGAAGGGCCCCGGTTGTGTTCCGAATGGAGATCCCGGGTCCCCTCGTATACGCTGATGACCACCGTGGAGTTGTAGCCAGTAGGAGTCCGACATAACCTTTTCGTTGCCCCTGCAGCGTCGGGTATCAATAAGGATTCCCCACAACAAAAAAAGCATACTAATGCAATTAAAAATCAAGTCATACGTCTTGTTCGGTATCGTCGGTGGTGCCATCTGCTCCCTCGTCAGACTCGTCGTCGGGAAGTCGCGCGTTCTCTGACAGCTCTGAACCAGTGCTGCAGCTGTCTTGGTATTCACCTGTTTTTAAATAGCAATGCATAATTTGAGGCTGTCCTGGAAGTTCCAGGCGAGAAACGTGAAGACGATTCACTCAAAATTGGTTTTGTCTGATTTGAATAAAGATTTCTATGTATACTACAAGCCGGCCTCTGCGGCCTTAATACATTGGTAGTGGCCAATGTATTAAGGCCGCAGAGGCAGTTGTGGAGTTGCGGTCAATTCTCCACAATACCTTTAATCGGTTGCGAGCGGGCGAGAAGACTAGTTCTTTATTCTGTAAACCGCGAACGTTGTTTTCGGCAATCTAATAATAAAATAATAGCAAATAACACTGATTTTCTACCGACTTCAAAAAGGAGCAAAAATTCAACTGTATGTTTTTTTAATGTGTGTTACCCCATAACTTTTTACTCGCTGAACCGATTTCGATGATCCTTTTTTATTTGAAAACTGGTGCTTCACATGTCTTCCCATATAAATTCGATCAAGGTCTGACCAATAGTTTTTGAGTTATTCTTAATAATTTATATTGAAGACGGTTGTACAAAATTTTAAATTTTAAATTATGATGATAATTGTCATTCCAGTTTATGTTTAATGTGACTAAGAAAACGCTATCAAACGCTGAGATAAGTTTATTTCGTATTTTCCTGAAAAAACAATAACTGTCGTAAATGAAAATACAAAAGCATGGCGTATTTACTGTGCCAGCTACGCTACGCCCGCGCCCGTGTGGTCCACATTTGTGACACATTTTTTTTTTATAGGACAAGGGTGACAAACGAGTACACAGTCCACTTGATGGTAAGTGGTTGCTGCGGCCCACAGACATCTATATCTATCCTAGATTACAAATCAAAATGCAGATGCGTTGTTACCCGTGAGCATTAAGTTGAAATGCCTCATTTCTAGTAAAACCGGTCTCCGCTTCTCTACACTCACCATACGAAACATAGCAGCATAAAGCTGCTATTTAACGCTGGTATTCTGTGAGAGCGTGGTCCTTCCCCGGTCGAGCCGACCCATTCGTGCTACAACTATACTACCAATATAGCTGCAGCATGACTCTACCACGTTGTGCACGTTTGTTCTGAATTGCCGGTCCAGTAGTAAGTAAATAGAAGTACATAGAAGTCTTTGGATTTGGCGTAATCACCGCTTTCTTATTTATTTATATATGTTCTAGTTTGAAGGGTAAGAGGACCTCATATAATGAGGGCATCTACGACTTTTTCTGCCACCAGGGCGGCGCCACTAGAAAGTGCGGTATAATATTTGACAGATTCCACAGCGGGGAAGTTAATTTGTTCGGAAAATATAAAGGTTATTGTTTCTTTTTGCACTATTAGCTATATTTTCTATTAATAAAATTAAAAATATATAAACCAAACCACAGATATTCATAAAAGTAGAAAACTTAAAAAAAAAAAGTTAAAAATGTGCAAAAAAATTAAAGAGCAAACCACTGACGCATTGTATTGTGTATTAATTTAATACCCTAGAAACTGATAACCTTTTATTAAAAATCAACTTCTCAATTAAATTATACTGTGTAACAAAAAACTTTACCCCAGTGTCAACTAGCGACATCTGGTGAACAGAAAATTATTAGCCCTCATTACAGACTGTTAGGGATTTCATATTAGTACTTTACGTGTGAGAGTACTCTCTGACCACTAAGATTTGGGATTTCTTAAAGACAAGAGTGAATAGGCATCCTGTAGGCTAATAAAAGGGTAAAGTGTTTACCATCTATAAATTCACCATAAAAAGTAAGGCATATTAATGATTAAATTATTATTATATTTATTACTTCATATAAATATATTAGTTAAAAGTATAAATAAATAAGCAACTCTACCAATGATTACTTATCATAAATTTGAGGTGCTCTAGTCGATTTCGACTATGGCTAGGGTTGCTAGATGGTCGGGATTCGTCTGGATTCTCCTGACATTTTAAATTATCTCCAGACTCCCGATAAAATCGTCAAACCGTGCGTTGAGTGGCGTCACTTAAAATGTACGCAATGCTATATCTTTCTTTGTTAGTCTGAGGTAGGAAACTATATCCATGTTAGTTATCTCTTTATTATTTAGCTGATTTTTTTCAGCTGATTTTGTACGTGGTAAAGCCATGCTGCAGCTTTATTATGGTTGTAGCACGAATGGGTCGGCTCGACCGGGGAAGGATCACGCTCTCACAGAATACCAGCGTAAAATAGCAGCTTAACGCTGCTGTGTTTCGTATGGTGAGGGTAGAGAACCGGAGACCCTTTTAACTGGAAACGAGGCATTCCATCTTAGTCCTCACGGGTGACAACGCATCAGCATTTTGATTCGTAATCGAAGATAGATGTAGATGTCTATGGGCCACAGCAACCACTTACCATCAGGTGGACTGTGTGCTCGTTTGTCACCCTTGTCCTATTAAAAAAAAATTAAATAAAGAATACTTCTACAGCGATATAGTTATATTTCAACTAAATTCAAAAAATCTAATCGAATTAATTACTAGGATTACTTTTATTTTTGATCTATATTTCAGAAAATACATTTTTAAATAGTTTTTTTTTATTAGGCACTTAAGGAATAAATTTATTATGAATAAAGATATATACAACACTGAATGCTAAGCGAAATGTCGCAACCCCAATTGCGACGAGTCAAGGCTCTTAAAAAGTTATTGCAGTTGGTAGTTTTTGGTTTTTCTAATATAAAACGTGGTGGGAAAAATATTCCCTCTAACTGTAAAAGGGTTAAACCCAAGCGAAACACTTCGATAACTAGCACAGCAGCCGAATGCCTGTAATAAAAAAACTGTAATACATTACACGCACTATGGGCGTCCCTTATTTCTGCGCCGCAGTCTTTAGGCACGAACGGCAGACACTTGCGGTGAGCGTTGTAGTGACAGTCTCCGCACTGCATGCCCTGCTTAAACAGCCCTCGCAGCAGCTTCTTGCACAGGCGGCATACTGTCGGTCGGGTGTACGTGTGCACTTGGAAGGTGTGGGGTATTCCCAGCGATGAAGGCGGTGGCCAAGCTCCCGCTGACCGTTTGCTGCTCCCGCCAACCTTGAATTGTAAAGGTTTGTTTAAAAAAAATAATTTAATGAATATACGTTGTTTTTCTTAATTGTTCGTTGTTCTTTTGACGGTGTAGTGGCGCCATATCGTCTGGTGGGTGTTGTAAGACGCGACATTGGAAACAAAGCTGAGGATGTACAGCAGCATCTTTCTAATAACAACTAAAAACTAAATAACCGTTGTCTACCTTTTGCCAGCGTGGCAACTATGGCAAATATCCCTTTGAGGCAATCTAAGGTAGATTTATGTTCACGAGTGGACTTTTGATAGGCTGTAAGGGTAACGGAAACTTCATTTTTTTAAATGTCGTTTTAAGTTCATACAAGGTGTTTTCCGTTGGGTTTCTTGCTGGTTCTTCCCAGAACAGAGGTTTTTTTTTGTGAACCAGTGGTAAAAGTAAAAAAATTAATTTCAATAAGTATTATGTACTGTAATCTATATTGAATATAAATTATTCTATTCTATCGTAGCAGGTTTTATAAGTCGGTTAATTGCATTTAAGTTATATGTAATACGTACTATACGAGACACCGCGAACAAAATCGGTGCGGCAGTAACCTTATACGGCGTAAGCTTGTATGTTGTGTGTTTGGAAACTTTAGTATCCACGGATACTAAAGTATCCAAACATATTTTTTTAAGTCGGCATATTTTTTGGATTCTTGTGTAACGTTTGACTGTTTATATTCAAGAATTTAAGATTTTATAAGTCCTTCATTGCTAACTAGTTCGCCTGGTTACACACTCACCCTTAGAGCGACAGCGTTGTCGCCTAGTACCAGTGAACCCACCGGTCATGTGTTAATTCGTCTTAAAGCGTTCTTACCTCTTTCTATCATTAAGCTGCACTGCAACCATCATTGTGTTCCAGTTTAAAAAGTGAACCAGTATAATTATATGCAAGGCAATGAAACATTTTATCTTAGGCTGCATGGTTAGCTCTTTTGTCATTTATATTATTTAAAAAAAAAAAACTCTACCATAATGTGCCGCAGTTAGCGCTGGTAAATGGACTGCTTGTTCAATGTCTCTTCTAAAAACGCTTCTACAATTCCCCTAGTGTTGCAGTTGCTTATGGGCGACGGTAGTCACTTACCATTAGATGAACCGCCACTGCTAGTTTGCCCCTCTCATATAAAAAAAAAATAGGTTGGAGCCATTATCTTCACAGGCTTATTATTTGTTACGTATTTACCAATCTGCCTAGAAGGTGAGTTATGTTTGTTTGTCACTCTCTATAGTCTAAAATGCATAAAGCCGATTAAAGTGCGTGATATTGTTGGATTCGCCTTCATCTCTGGAGGGATATTTGCTACATTATCATTTCATTTATTTATTTATTACAGTCTATTAAAAGTCCACAGCTGAACATACGACTCCCTCCTAAATTATCTTATAGGAGGGATATATGCCACAGCTGCCACGTTTGGCAGGGGGTATGGTGATTGCAGTTTTTTACCATGGATTGTTATCAGGAAGATGCTGCCGCCCACTCGTTTCATCTCCCTCTGTAGCCTCTTACAACACCCACGGAATTGGGTTAGTGAGATTTTTTTTATAGGATAGGGTGACAAACGAGCACACAGTCCACCTGATGGTAAGTTGTTGCTGTGGCCCATAGACATCTACATCTATCCTCGTTTGCGAATCAAAATGCAGATGCGTTGTCACCCGTGAGGACTAAGATGGAATGCCTCTTTTTCAGTAAAAAGGATCTCCGGTTCTCTACACTCACCATACGAAACACAGCAGCGTTATGTTGCTATTTTACGCTGGTATTCTGTGAGAGCGTGGTCCTTCCCCGGTCGAGCCGATCCATTCGTGCTACAGCTATACTACTAATATAGCTGCAGCATGGCTCTACCACGTAAAGCCTCTGTAGCCTCTTACAACACCCACGGGATGATATGGGTTAGTGGATTCTCTTACGCTGTCGGTGCATGACATTTATTGTAAACCATTCACAAAGCATATTAGGTACTTACAACGCAATCTCTTAAATATGTCATTTTATTAGTTGACAGTAAATAATAATTGCTGTCGGTTTTTTAATAATAAAGTAAAGTTATAGCCTAAATATGTCCCACTGCTGGGCACAGGCCTCTCCTCAGTTCTGAGAGGGTTTTAAAGCAAGGAAGTGTCCACCGCGCTGCCCCATTGCGTGTTGGCGAACTTCACATATCTTCGAACTTTTTTTCCTTATTCCTCAGACATGCAGGTTTCTTCACGATGTTTTCCTTCACCGCCGAGCACGTAAATTGCAATTAACAATTTCATTGGGATCGAACCCGGTTTGCTCGCGTACTGTGAAATTTACAGCGAGCGCTAACCATCTGAGCTACCACGGCTCTTTTATCTATAATAATTTACATGTTATCTTTTTTAAATGACGTTATTTGTTTTTGCAAGAGAGTGCTTTCAATATTTGCCGTTAAACCGCCATTTATAGAAAGCCATAAATTTCTCTCACGACACCCACGGGACGAAATAGAGGTCTGGATATCTTTACATCTGACTGCTATTTTATATATATGAAATTGATAATCACAATTTTAAGTGTTGTTTTATCATGTGCTTGATGGTGAAGGAAAACATCGTGATTGGCATGTATAGAAAGTAAAAATTATTTTGGGCATACTATGTTGAATCGACGGATTCAACTCGGCTGGGCAGCGTTCGGGAAGCTACGACACATCTTCTCGTCAGACATACCTCAAAACCTGAAAACGAAATTGTACAACCAGTGCGTGTGGCCAGTGATGACTTATGGAACTGAGACGTGGTCCTTCACTGCTGGCCGTATGAGGAAGCTCAAGGTCGCTCAGCGAGCTATGGAGAGGGCTATGCTCGGAGTTTCTCTGCGTGATAAACTTAGGAATGAGGATATCCGCAGTAGAACCAGAGTAACCGACATAGCCCAACGGATTAGTAAGCTGAAGTGGCAGTGGGCCGGCCATATAGCTCGAAGAACCGACAACCGATGGGGAAGAAAGGTTCTCGAGTGGCAGCCTCGTACCGGTAGGCGAGGTGTAGGGCGACCCCCCACGAGATGGAGTGACGACTTGGTAAGATATGCAGGAAGTCGATGGATGCAGGTGGCTCAGGACCGTGCTTTGTGGCATTCTTTGGGGGAGGCCTATGTTCAGCAGTGGACTTGTGAAGGGCTGTAATGATGATGATGATGATGATGATGATGTTCATTCTATCAACATTTATTGCGCCAACGCGGCGATCACGTCTGTTTACGTTTTATATGTATTTTCCAGCTCCAATAACCCTTGTAGAAAATTAGAGGAGGCTTGAGTCGAGCAGTGGAACTTGAAATAGATCTTTAGTTTAACTTTTTTTTAAGATAATAAGCTTAATGGTCTCAGTGGTAATTAAAACAAAACCCAACTGCATAAAAAGTTCACTGACATAAATTACTAGTCAGACCTTGATCAAATTTATAGGGGAAGCACATGAGAAGCACCTCCTTCCAAATAAAAAAAATCTTCAAAATCGGTTCACCTAGAAAAAGTTATGAGGTAACACACATAAAAAAACGTACAGTCGAATTGAGAAGCTCTTACTTTTTGAAGTCAGTTAAAAAGAGAAAAAAAATTACGCCCTGTGTCACTTCTATCAAATCTAAAGATATCAAAATCTAAAGATAACCAATATGTTAAAATCCATCAAGGCGTTAAGGCTATAAAGAAATAAACATACATATAAATAAACTCGAAAAACATTACCCTCCATTTGGTGCAGTCGGTTAAAAAATTTTAACGAATTACTTTTGAAGATTTTTTGTTTAGAACTGTAGCATTCCATTTAACACTGGATGATGGGTATCACGGAAATTTAAATAAAACTCAAGAAATCATTTAAGTACATTTATTGATTGAAATAAAAATTACAAAAATATTACATTCAGTGCTACCCACCACCCTTTGTTAGTTAGCAGTCTTAAACAAAATAATAACAAGACTGATTTTAAAATACATTGTGCAAAATTAATCTAATAACCTAACTAATATGGACGTAAGTTATTTATCAACAATATTAACATAACTTAAAAAATAGAACAAAAATGGACGGAATTCAATATAAATTTAATTTAATTAGCATTTATGTAGATTAGGTTCTATTCGTTCTTAATAAATTGTTGCTTGCTCAAACATACGGCCTTACTTATAATCGTTTATTGTATTATTTAACCGAAGTATTAATTTTCTATATTACTGTCTCTTTCTATTATCATTCAGCGAGCGAGAGAGGGAGCGAGAGAGGGGGAGTGAGAGTGAGAGAGGGGGAGAGATAGAGAGAGCCCGAACTTTAAGCATTTCTTAACTTGACGTTGATTTTTATGTGTAAGGCCGTAGAACTTTAAAGAAATTAACTTTATATATAGAATTAATTTTTTCATCTGTATTTAAAGCAACAATTACAGATGAAAAAATGTTGCTAGTTCTACTATAGATCAAAAATTTGGTGTATAATTTGAACGTTATATAAAATATCGAATATGGACGTCAAGTCAGAAGTTACATGATCAAACACTAACAGAAACACCAAAAATTATTTTTATTAAGATATTTTATAATTTTGAAAATGAATATATAGCAGCCCAATACTATTTTTTCTCCTTACCTACACCAATTATAAAAAATATTTCTTTTACTATGTTCTCTTAATTCGGCTTAATCCTAATGAAATTTTTTACATATTTCACAAACATTTTCCAATTAAATAATGAATGGCTAACACATAAAAATATCTTAATATGGAAATATTTAGTATCTTGTGCGAAAACAGGCGTTTTTCTAGAAAAAAAAAAACGAATACGCGACGCGAGATGAAGCCACGATTTTATTTGAATGGAATATTTGTGCTGCTTTGAGCTTTTACTACAGGCTCATGCCATAGTCAACCTTGGTTAAAAACAAAATTTCACCTACTGTTAAAGTTATTTTTATTAGAATTATAGTATATATAGCATTCAGACCCATAATTAAGTAGGAAACTATAATATACAACATGTTAAGAAAATCATATCCAACGTTATCGTTAATAAATATAAAAATGTTATTAATATTATTAATACCACTGCTACCATTCGCTTAAAAGAACAATGGCAGCCTTTCATACATAAAATTAGTAGAGAAGAAATGGTAGCGTCTATAATTATATCAAAAATATCTTAAAATCTTAAGCGTCAGTCCTTGAGTAACTAGTAATGTCAAAGAATTATGTCCTGAGAAGGCGCCAAAAGAGATATTTAGATTTGAACCTTTTAGGTTATGTCTTATGTCACTTGAAAAAAGTCATGCGTCCTGTGGTTGTTTGATGTTAGCTTACATTCTCAACATAATGTACCTACCTATAATTGAGAGTTTTTAGATTATTGTATCTCTATTAAATATTTGCATATTATAAATGTATATTTCTGGTATGGCTTCCGGGCCTTTGTGCTACAGTGACATTTTGTTTTAGCTAGTGTTGCCATAACATTAAATTGAATTGTTACATAGTACTATGATTGAGATTATGTATTATTGCAGGAAGTTCTTTGTAAGAGACTTATTTTCAACCATATCACTTTTATTTTTATTATTACTGATAGTATAGTTATTACCAATAATAACTTCTTATAAAAATATTTTGTGTTCGTGTGTTGTGTTGGTAGTCTAAAAAAGTGTACTTATACGGAAATAGTATGGACATAGTAAATGGCTACACTTGAATAGTGTAAAATGATTAAAGTCATTTGATAGTCCCAAAAATGTAAGTTTTTTTCTGTGGCTTTAATTAAAATTCCTTTTTTGTTAGAAAAATCATAGAAAAATAAACCTAGCAAGCTAACAGCATAGCAAAGTGGCGAAGCAATCAGCTTTTTAGCAGTTTCTAACGGTTGCCGTTGAGCAATCAGTTTCAAAATAGGAGGTTCAGATGCCTGGGTGATCAGTAATCGATTGCTGAAAACAGAATTTGAAAATTCGAAACCGTTCTCGAGATAATCGTGGGACAGACGGACAGACGGACAGACATCGTGAAATCAATGTGACTTTGCAAGCTTCGCCACTTAATAAGGACTCATTTTATATATAAATTATTTCTAGACGAAATCATTTTTGTCAACTATTTTTCTGCCCTTGTTATTTGGCAAATTTGTGAAATCTAGCAACACCGTCGTCGGCAACGGTATCTTTGAACGGGTGGCGGTTTGTTATCCGACGGCTGGCTGCGCTGCATGTATTGCCATGCAAGTTCCCCGTTTAATTGATTTTGCGATAATTTTTATATTTATTCTCCGAGAAGGATTACATGAAAAACATAACACGATACCTAAAAACACTTATGAATCGGACAGTTTTCTTTACATATTGTATAATAGTGTTGGCAGCCATTGGTCACGAGATACTTAATGCCCCCAACATCCTCGCAGTGCTACCACTATGTCTCGAGACCATTTCCACTTCCAAGTCGTCATCACTAGTAAATAAAGGGTTGGCGGGCTTAGTTGTTGCCGGTGACGAGGTCCGCGAGGCGCCTTACCAGCGAGTCGTCGCGCGAGGCGTGGCTGTGCGCGGAGTTGCGCGACGGGCTGCGAGGAGCGCCGGAAGCACGCCGGCCCGGAGCCAGTGCATTCGAAGTCGCGCTGACCGGTGCTTCGCAGTTCGACGGCACCTTAACAGCGCACCGCTTGTGGTAGTTTAGGCCGCAACCTGAAGATTACGATTGGGTTAAGTATAGTTAGTACTAGGTAAAGTTGGATACCTGCCCAACTTTTAAATAACATTTCCAGTATCCTGTTCTAATATAACAGGCTGTTATCTAGTTCTAACTAAGATTAGGTAGGAATTGTCTTTAAACTGTGCGAGTCCCTGTTACATCTGTTTGTTATACAATAAAGTTATTAGTAATCTCGCAGCAAGTGTAAATAGGAAATTTCTTTAAATTGTGCTACTCAAAGTCCTCTAAGCGGTTCCTCGCAATTCGACGGCACTAGTGTTGCCCAAAATCGGTCTTGGTCTTGCAGTCTTGGTCTTGTTCTTGCATTATTGCAAGACCAAGACCAAGAACAAGACCGCCTCTTTTTAGCAAGACCAAGACCAAGACTGACCGTGCAAGATTTGCGCAAGAACAAGACTAAGCTTGCGAGATTCTTGCGTCTTGCAGTTAGGACTAAGTGTCGTTTCAGGGAGTATAGGAGTTCGGGTATATGCTTAGGGACTCTATGAGACGCAAAAATATATAATTAAAAAAAAAATTGGAAAATTGGACTTATGCGCATTACGAACAATACCATAAATATACATAGCGAATGAAAATATCCATTAAAAGAAAAAAGAGTGCATCCCTAGTTTTGACCATCGGCACTTTGATAGTGCGCGGCGTCTTGTTGTCGGCGTCATCAAAGGTCGGATACTGACCTGTCAAAGAAATTGTGCAGCTATTTGAAAGTACAAGGTCAAGATACTCGTGCCGGCGGCTACTATTGATATCGCATACAATCGTCGCCGCCGCGCCGCACGCACTACATTTAACACTGTTTGATTGCCGCCACAGAGTACATGTTTCAAAGAATAAAATAAGTTTCCGGGTGCTCAGAATGGACACGAATACATTATCCTGATCTCGCAAGAAATATTGTAATTAGATAATAGGTAGGTATCATAATAATTTATTCTAGTAACTAATTATTATAAAATTAACTATATGGATTTATAATAATTACTTACTATTATTATTATTATTATTACCTAAAAGATAAACATGTTCAGTAAGTTCACTGCAAATCTCGACTTTGCAAGTGTGTGTTTTTAAAACACAAAGTGCTCGAATATGTCGTCATACATTTGATAAATATGGACACCATAGCACTTTTAAAACACTTGAAATGTGTAAAAATGGATCTGGGTCTTGTCTTCAAGGCTTAGTTATTAAGGAGTTGAAGGGGTACCTAAGTAAACCCAGAGCCGTCATCTCGGAAGACATTTTAGACTGTTGGAGGACGCATGAGACAAAATATCCGATTTTATTGAAGACTGGTGATTTTCTTTTAATACCTGCAACTTCAGTACCTGCTGAGAGATTATTTTCTAAAGCATCATTAGTAATTAGAAAACATAGAAATAGGTTAAGTGATGAGTAAGCCAGGTATTAATGCTTTGTCAAAAGAATAAATATAAAGTAACAGTAATATCAAAGCTGTTGTGTACATACTGTGAAGTAATTTTTTTTAGTTCTGTTCTGTTCTGTTCTGTGAAGTAATTTACATCGTATTTTATTTTTTATGTTAATAAATTGTATATTATATAACTCTTTTATTCCATTTCATATATGGTGAGGGTCCATCAATCTCTTTCTAGAGAGATAATGTTATTTAAAATACAGTGTAGTTATGTAGTTATTGCCATTAATTTGTTTTTATATGTATGTTTAACCATGTTTTAGCACATGTAAGCTTATTAAATGTAAACGTTTATTAAGAAACTGACGCCCGTGGCCGTGGGACACTCAGTTGGTTGGAGCATCGGCGCGGATCGCTTAGGTCGTGGGTTCAAACCCCATCTGGTGTCAGTTGATTTTTCGAATTTCTCATTAAATGTTTAGACATTTATTAATATGGTTCGTCTTTACTACGGCTATGTTAATTCAAGCTCAATAAGTACCTTCTCTGTTAAGTTATTCTAAGATCTAAAGTAACGTTTAATAAATAGTAATAGGCTAATAGGTCATTGCGAGACTTGCGAGACTCTTGCTGCAAGACCAAGACCAAGACCAAGACTCGGAGCGCAATACCAAGATCAAGACCAGGTGTATTGGCGCAAGACCAAGACCAAGACTTGCTAAGTCTCGTCTTGTTCTTGCATTTGGGCAACACTAGACGGCACTTTAACAGCGCATCGCTTGTGGTAATGTAAACCGCGATCTAAGAATTACGGGTGGGTTATAGAGGTAAAGTTGGAAACCTGTTTCAAATTTTAAATAATAGTTCCAATCTAACAGGTTCCAATTCAATATAACAGGCTGTTATAAAGCAACAAATTCAGATAGGAAATATCTGACGGCACCTTAGGCCGCAACCTAAGGATTAGGAGTGGGATAAACCTATGCCAACTGGAAAGAACAGTTCAAGTAACCAGTTCCAAAATAACAAACTGTTATTTTGGAACTGGTTACTTATCTAGTTGTTACAAAATTTAGATAGGAATTGTCTTGATTATGTCAAGGATGTTAGCGATCTAGGCCCTACGGGTCACAGTTGTGTGCTGTTTTGTGTGTGTTTATTATAAAGGTATAATAAAAAAAAATCACTACACCTTAAAGGCTATAATATATTAGTGTGTCTATAAATATAAATAGCTTCTTACAATCAGGTAGTCTGTTAGTTTGTTTAAGACTCAAATATTTAAAAAAAAACTTGGACTGTTAAGCTGGTGACAATAACCTCTGTGGTGAGTACGAACAACTCACCTTCGCATTTGAGTCCTTGCCGAACGAGCCCGAAGAGCATCTCTCCACAGAAATCGCAAAATGTGGGCGCCTTGTAGGAATGTACGGCGAGCGCGTGTGGACGAGGCACAGGCGTACCTTCCGTACCGTCGCACAGTAGAGCTGCAACAATTTTGCAAATAAACGACACATTTAAATATTTATTTTATACGTGGTAAAGCCATGTTGCGGCTATATTTTGGTTGTAGCACAAATGAGTCGATCGAAGGACCACGTTCTCAGTTTAATGCTGCTGTGTTTCGTATGTTGCTATGAGTGAAGAGAACCGGAGGCCCTTTTCGCTAGAAACGAGGCATTCTATCTTAGTCCTCAGGGGTGAACAATGCATCTGCATTTTGATTCTTAATCGAAGGTACATGTAATGTCTATGGCAGAGCATTCACTTACCATCAAGTGTACTGTGTGCTCGTTTGTCACCCTTATTCCATAAAAAAAATTATATACCGCTATTCATTAAATTTGCCCACGGCTTTTTTATGTTGGGCAAAAGAGCATGTGGCTCACCTGATGGTAAATACCGCCACCCATGAACATCCGTAATCCCAGAGGAATTGCAGGTGTATTAATAGCCTTTCAAAAAGGATTAGGACAAATCCCTGGTGATGGCAGATTCCTTAGTGGTCGTGGGAGGACAAAAATTGAAAGACTGCGTGGTTGACCGCTCAGCATCTTACAGAGGTATGGCATCCATTCGAAAATGTCAAATTCAAATCCAAGAGCCTACGATGGATATTTATGTCGTAAGTCTTAGGGCACCGAAAAGTAACCCATTTTGGTAGAAATACGAGATACAGCTCACTGAGACGTTTATATTCTGAATTCTAAATATGGAAAAGGCGAATGCCAATTTACAACATAATTATTATAGCAATAATTTTGTCATAGTAATTCTTGTTTACGTTTGACAACCTGACCGTGTCTTATCTGATAACGTGATACATAACATGCTTTTTATATTCTGCCGACTTCCAAAACGGAGACGGTACTCAATTAGACTGTATTTTTTTATGTGTTACTTCATAATTTTGTACTGGGTGCACCGATTTCGATGATTCTTTTTTTATTTGAAAGCTGATAGTTCTCGTGTGGTCCCATAATTTGATCAAGGTCAGACCAAAAGTTTTTGAGTTATTCTTAAATAACTTATATTGAAGTCGGCTGTACAAAATTTTTAATTTTAAATTATCTGATTATTTTCTTCTGTTAAAAACATGACACTTGGGATTTCGCCTGTATTGTAGAGGCTTTAAGCATACATAAATTGCACATGGACAAACATTCAGACCCCGATCCACTATTTGTATGGCTTACAAATTACAAATAATTGTTCCGTGCCGGATACCCGCGGCTCGCAGCTTCTCAGTGCGGTCTTACCCACTGCGTTACCGAGCCGTTGAAATCTGTCACTCTTTACGATTAATAATCAGCTCTCTGAGCATACGTTTTCTATCGTATCGCCATTGAATGACTATGTAAGACAAAATTTAGTTCCATTTACGTCCGCCAGGGGCGCTGTTCATATTTTCATATAATTTTAGTCGATGACGATACGAGAACGTTGCTGTCAAAAACTTGTGCTAAAACACTGTTTAAACAGATAACACGTTCACAACGGTCTCCTACTGTTTATATCCATTTAACAATAGACGATGATCGACTCACCGTTTGCTGTGAGTACAATTTCAACGAGGGTTTCGTCCGTGATGTCGGAAGCGGAGTTAACGAGCTGCAGCACATTAGGCGAGCAGTAGTCGTGGCGGAACAGCAGGATGCGCTCTGACAGCCGGTTCAGTCCGTTGTCGGGGATCTGTTGGTCGCACAACAAATATAGTTTTTAGCGAAGATTGTGTGGATTACGATTTACCACTATAGAGTTGACAACTTTTTGAAGTGAAACTTCTTTATTTATGGAGAAAATTAGTACGGTATTTAAAAAAAAACGTCACGTTTTCTTGTAACTTTGCGGCTGCATGAGTATATTACTATTTAACCTGCTTATGTAAAATATAAAATAAAAGAATAATGATATGTTGTAAAGAAGTTTCACTTCGTATGTGTGTACACATACACACGCACAATTATTTTTATTTTTATTATATTCTTTTCGAGGCTATTTCTTGTAAAATATATAATAAAAACATATAATCATCATCATCATCATCATTGCGGCCATTCCACTGATGAATAGTTTTGCTCTTTTAAGCCTCTATTAAGTGCCGGTGAGAACATCGTTTTTAGACTTGTTCCAAAATATGAAAAAGACGAGATAGATATTTTTTTATTTAATATAGATTATAAATAATACTTATTGAAAGTTATTCTTATGTTAAATTAGTACTGGTTGGAAAAATACCTTTGTGTTGGGAAGAACCAGCAAGAAACCCAGCGGGACATTTTTTAAAAATAAATAACAGTTTACATTTGTGTATTTACAAAGGATCGCCTCAGGGTTCACTACGCTGGGCAGGCGGATTAGCGAGCGTAGAGCTTATAGTAGGGCCTATTCCCCATCACCAGTCTGCGAAGTCTGAGATCTACATGTCACCACTTTGACCGTCGAAGGATATCTTTCGTGGGGCAAGGTGTTCAGTCCGGGGGGCGGCTAACGCTCCGACTCCGAGTAGTTGTACGGAGCCCGTTCTTTATACACAGAGCCGTCCGGAAACTTTGATAGCGTGATTTAGTCCGCCATCAGTAGTGGCGCAGGAGAATGCATCACCAAATTTCGTCTCATGGGTGTCGCAAGCGACTACGGGATATGCCGAAATGGCGGCATAAACATCTTATTAAAGGCGTAAACTACCCAGACCGGCGACGGGAAGCTGCCTCGTAGTAGTGCAACATCTGCTACTGCCAAGCGTGACTATTCAAAATAATCATCATCATTACAGCCCTTCACAAGTCCACTGCTGAACATAGGCCTCCCTCAAGGAATGCCACAAAGCATGGTCCTGAGCCACCTGCACTGCATCCATCGACTTCCTGCATGTCTTACCAGGTCGTCACTGCATCTAGTGGGGGTCACCCTACACTTCGCCTACCGGTACGAGGCTGCCACTCGAGAACCTTCTTTCCCCATCGGTTGTCGGTTCTTCGAGCTATATGGCCGGCCCATTGCCACTTCAGCATACTAATCCATTGGGCTATGTCGGTTACTCTGGTTCTGCAGCGGATATACTTATTTCTAAGTTTATCACGCAGAGAAACCCCGAGCATAGTCCTCTCCATAGCTCGCTGAGCGATCTTGAGCGTCCTCATACGGCCAGCAGTGACGATTATGGCTACACATCTCTATAATGATAGAGCCCAATACCCAGAAGTGAACTTTAACGGGTTGATAATGAAGAAGTCGTTGGAGATTCGCGTCCATCGAGCAGTAGATTTCACCGCGCGAGTTTTATTTGGTGAAACTTAAATACTTGCCCTAATAATCTCTTACTGTATTGATAATGGGTCATTTATTTACAATTTTATTGGTAAATCTCGAATGGGTCGCCTCTACGGGGAAGGACCATACTTTCAAAGAATACCAGCGTAAAAAACCAGCTTAATGCTACTGTGATTCGTATGGTGAGTGTAGAGAACCGAAGACCCTTTTTTTTTAATAGGAGAGGGGGCAAACGAGCATGCGGCTCACCTGATGGTAAGTGACTACCGCCGCCCATGAACAACTGCAACACTAGGGAGGGAATTGCAGATGCGTTTTGCCGGCCTTTTAAAAAGGAGTACGCTCTTTTCTTGAAGGTCCCTAAGTCGTATCGGTCCGGAAAAATCGCTGATGGTAATCGATTCCACAAGGAGGTCGTGCGAGGAAGAAAACATCTTCTAAATCGCACAGTAGTGGACCGCCAATCATCCAGATGGTGTGGATGGTATCGGGAGTTCTGCCGCGATGTGCGTTCGTGAAATTTGGCGGCTGGGATTAATCCGAACAATTCCTCAGAGCACTCCCCATGGTAGATGCGAAAGAAAATGCAAAGGGATGCAACATCTCTTCGCAGTGCCAATGAATCGAGCCGATCGGAAAGGGCTCGGTCGTCGACGATTCGCGCAGCTCTGCGTTGGATGCGGTCAAGTGGAAGGAGCTGGCACTGGGGAGCCCCTGCCCAGAGATGGGAACAGTATTCCATGTGAGGCCGAACTTGCGCCTTGTAAAGTTGCAGGCGGTGTGCCGGCATGAAATACTGTCCCGCTCTGCTGAGCACGCCAAGCTTTTTAGAGGCCAATTTGGCCTTCCCTTCCAAGTGACCACGAAACTGCACGTCACTCGATATGTCGACTCCGAGGATACCGATACTGGCTGAGGCAAGAAGGGGAGTGCCTTGAAACTGAGGAGATACGACAAAGGGGTTCTTTTTAGCGGTAAGCGCGTAAACTTGTGTCTTCTGAGGATTAAACTGGACTAGATTTAGTCGCCCCCAATCCGAGACTTTGCTCAGCAAAGACTCGACTTCAGACACAAGTTTGTTCCGGTACTCAGCGACGTCTTCCCGAGAAATATTGGCACGGCCGGTGTATAGAGCATCACCAGTACTGTCATCCGCATAGCAATGAATGTTACCAGTTAGCAACATATCATTGATATGCAGAAGAAACAGCGTTGGTGATAGCACACAGCCTTGTGGAACACCAGCGTTAATAGGCTTGTAGTCAGAGCATGCACCGTCTACAACGACCTTGATGCTCTGATCTGCAAGGAAGCTGGTGATCCAATTGCACAATTTCTCGGGAAGCCCATAGGAAGGGAGCTTCGAAAGAAGCGCTTTGTGCCAAACCCGATCGAAGGCCTTCGCAATGTCCAGACTAACGGCCAACGCCTCCCCCTTGGACTCTACTGCCTCCGCCCATCTATGGGTCAGGTAGACCAGAAGATCACCACCGATCGACCCCGACGAAAACCGTATTGGCGGTCACTAATCAGCTGGTGATCCTCAAGGTACCTGATGAGCTGGCAGTTAATAATGGATTCCATTATTTTGGAGAACAAGGAGGTGATCGCGATAGGCCTATAGTTGGATGGGTCTGAGTGGTCGCCTTTTTTAGGGATCGGGTGGACAAAAGCTGTCTTCCATGATTTCGGGACTACGCCTAGGGAGTAGGAGTACCGGAAAAGACGCGTTAGGACCGGTGCCAACTCCGGAGCACACGTCCTCAGCACAATTGGGGGGATTCCGTCAGGCCCACTCGACTTCTGGATGTCCAGGGAGAGCAGTGCTTTGCGAACCGAGCGCTGTGAGAACAGCACATCCGGCATGGAGCACTCACACCGCGGGATGGTCGGCGGTGTTTTCCCCCCGTCATCAAGAGTCGAGTTGGACGCAAAAAGGGAGCCTAAAAGGTCGGCTTTGTCTTATGCGTCATGGGCCAGTGAGTCATCCTCCCTGTGCAGAGATGGTAGTGATGGCTTACAGGAATTCCCTTGGACAGCCTTGGCGAGAGACCAGAATGCACCGGTTCCCGAAGGAAGGCGAACTAGTTTCTCGCCAATTCTGCCTATGTGCTCTGACTTTGCCTTGGCAATAACTCTTTTGAAGGACCTGGAGGCGAAGTTATACTTCTTTTTAAGTGTGCTGGTGTTTACATCCCGAGTCGCCGAAGCCGCAGCCCAGGCTTGATAACACTCCTGCTTACTGCGTAATGCAGTCTTATAGGAGCGACCAAACCAAGGCTGAGATCTGCCTCCGATGGGTACCACAGATGATGGAATAAATAGTTCCATTCCCTGTAGCACCCCATCAGTGACAGAGTCAGCAACAGCGCTGGGATCGTCCGGCGAGAAGCAAACCCGCCCCCATGGGTAGGATGCAAAGAAAGACCGCATTCCGTCCCAATCCGCCGACCTGTAATGCCAAACACGGCGGCAACCTGCAGAACGCAACCGCGAAGGGAGCGTGAGTGGCACCACACTCCGGATCAGACAATGGTCCGAAGAGCCGAGAGGGGCATCGACGGAAACCTGATATCCGTCCGGATGAGAGGTCAGCAGAAGGTCCAACAGGGAAGGTGTATGATCCTCCACATCTGGAATCCGCGTAGGCGAAGTAACCAGTTGTGTCAGACCATATGCCAAGGCAAAGTCATAAACAGATCTCCCCGCATGATCGGTTAGACGTGAACCGAGCCCTTCGGCATGGTGGGCGTTAAAATCGCCAAGGATCACGATCTCTGCGGATGGGACCTGTTGTAGCAAGGAATCTGTAGCCATTTGGACGTGGTCGATGAGTCGGTCTGTTTCGGCATTACCGCTATGGGTCCGAACCTTCAAGCCTGCCGAGGCGTCGAGAACAGATGTCCTCTCTGACATACACGCAAACTCCAGCCCGAGGCACAAAGGAATGCTCCAATTTGTACCCCGGGTAGGAGAGATACGAAATATCAGCCGGAGAGGAAACCTGCGTCTCGGTCAAAAAGAGCAAGGCCGGCCTTTTTACTAGAAAAGAGCCATTCCATCTTAGTCCTCGAGGGTGACAACGCATCTGCATGTTCATTCTCAATTAACTATAGATGTAGGTGTCTATGAGCCACATCAGCCACTTACCATCAGGTAGACTATGTGCACGTTGTCACCTTTCTTTAATAGGTATATATAATAATTAATAATATATAATATAATATAGTAATATATAGTAATTTAATTGCTTAGGAACGCCGTGGTCAGGAACATATCGTATGAGGTTTCCCTTTAAAATAAAAACAGTTCGCCCCACGTTTTCAATTTATCACTGGATTATTAAATTGAAAGTTACCAAAACAGTTATCGTTTGTTATTTAGTAGTAAGGCATGCGATAATTCTATTTAGTTAAAAATATATTTGTTTATAAGAAACGTTATTAGAAATATCGTCTGTGTTCTAGAGTCGTTTTGCAAACATAAATTGAAAAATATTTATTTGTTGACACTGGCTGAGTTCGGGAATAGATACAGAAATATAAAAACATAGCGTCATAAATCTTTTAAATTTAAAATTGTTTATTCGGATTTATGAAAAATATATTCAAGTAAATGCACTTTTACTTTAATATGTATATTAGGCTCAAAGAACGAAAACGCTCATTGAGCGGTAAAACATCTCAGTAGTTTCTGAAAAACATCCATATCGCAAAATTATGTTATGGCTCTTATAGAAACGAATTGGGTTCTTCACACCATCATTAACAAATTACTTAATAATTTTTTTTATTTTTTCAATTAATGTCTTAATACTTTTTTATTTTAAAAATATACTATTACCCTTACAGCCTAGTCCACTGCTGAACATAGGTCTGCCCCTTAGATTGCCTCATAGGGGGGGATATTTGCCATAGTTGCCACGCCGGTTGGCAACCACAGTTTTTTATTTTTAATGCTTATAACGAAAACGCTGCTGCCCATCTCTTGATTTGTTTTCCTCTGTCGCCTCTAATCAGAGGCGGCTCTAGCCCTTATAGCGCCCGGTGCAACCAATACCCGGGCGCCCTCTAGTAGGCGCGCGATCAAATGGAATACTCACACTTATATTTTTAAACGAAAATTCGGGTGCAAATGGTGCAATTATAAATGATGTCGGGAAGCAATTGGTACATGAGTAAAAAGTATTTTTTTGAAAAGTTTGTAGAAAACAACTTTGTAGTTATTTCAAACATATTTAATTTAAAAACTAGTTACATTTTTTTTATAGGATAAGGGTGACAAACGAGCACACAGTCTACCTGATGGTAAGTGGTTGCTGCTTCCCATAGACATCTACATCTATCCTTTATTACAAATCAAAATGTAGATGCGTTGTCACCCGTGAGGACTAAGATGTAATGCCTCATTTCCAGTAAAGATTACATAAAGATATAGTAAAGAATACATTACAGAACGCTTGTTAGACAAAACAAATATATTTACGAAAAAGTAACTTTTCGTGTTTTTGCATTAGCAAAATCTTTAACAATGTCACTGACTTCAATTTTGATTTCATGTCCAAAACTTATTAACGATAAATTTGTCAATCTACTTTGGGACATGTTGATCTAAGACAGTTTTTATTTATTTTTAGTTTAGAAAATGATCTTTCGCTGTGTGCTACCGTGACTGGCAATGTGAGATAAATTCTCAGTGCTAAACAAGTGATTTGTCTGACTAATATAATTTGACGGCTCCGTGGCGAAGTGGTTTAGCAATGAGTTATTGCGCTGGTTCGAATCCCGCACGGAACAAGTATTTGTATGTGTTAATTGTATGCCTCCAAATAATTGCTCCGGGTCTGGATGTTTGTCCTCGTGCAACTTATGTTTATAAACTGCCTTCACGATACAGGAGAAAATTCTAGTGTGGGGGTAACGTTTAAAAAAAATATTATTAACTATACTTAAACACACACGAAATGGACAAATATTATGCTTTGTAAAGAAAATGGAAGGTTTGCTGAATGAAGCATATACCCATGTCACAAAAATTACGTCACGAAAATTATTATGGATGACTTTGAAAAACATTAATATTGATACACTATTGAAAATCCAATAATAATTAATCTAAATAACGACATCTCAATTAGTTGTAGTGAAAGTGACTGAATATATTTATTTTTAATCTAATTTTAAATTTAAAATTTATACAATTTTGCCTCTAGAGTATAAGCAGTAATAATAAATATGAAGAAACTAATAATTCTTGTGTTTTAAATTATACGTTTCTAATTTATTCTGGTATTAATCGAAACAAAACTGTAAATGATTAACAACTCTAAAGAATTGATATCGATTTTTCTAAAGAATCGAATATTGTACGTACTGATTTTTTGGTTGGCATGCCTAGTCTAATAAGTCTGACAGCTGTCAAAACGTATTTCTTAGATTTGGTTGAGTACAATAATTGTAAAACAGGTGCCGGCACGCGCCTTTGATAGCTGATCTTTAACTATCTATTTGAAGACTGATTTCAAGGTGAAACAAAAGTTATTGTGTAGAGTAAGGAGCCGCTTGTGGCGCGCCTTGCTTTGCTACCGCGCCTGGCGTCAGCCATAACACGGGCGCAGGGTCTTTGAGAGCGCCGGCGCTCTCAAAGACCCTGCATCAAAGACAACGCATCTTTGAAGATGTCATGAGCGCCGTTCGACGCCCCCTAAGACACTGCGCCCGTATGCGCTGCACAGCCTGCACCATTGGTAAAACCGGCTCTGCCTCTAACGACACCCAGGTTAGTAGATATTGTCACACCGCTACTACACGGTAAGACATACAACTACGACGATAATGATGTCATTACTCATTACATTCTATTATCAAACGTCTTTTCCGAACCAGTGGTTAAGTAAGCATAAGAGTGACTTTCAATAAGAAAATATTTATAATCTATATGGAATAAAAAAATTCTATATCATTTTCTATTTCCCTGTTATAACTATATAGGTAGGTACTTCTTGAAATCTTTATGATCAACAGCCATACCTTCTCGTGCACGAATTTGACAGCGAGCTCCTTGAGGTGTGCGAGTGTGAGCAGGTGCGCGGGCGCGGAGGCCACGTCGCGCATCACGCCCAGCTGGAACATGAACGTCACCTCGTCCTCCATCGCGCCAGCCACCTCGCTGTGGACAACCATTTAATAATTACATAACAGCAAACAAAATTACGTGCAAACCAGTGCGTGTTGCTAGTGATGACATATGGATCTGAAACGTGGTCCTTCACTGCTGACCGTGCCAGGAAGCTCAGATCTTCATATAGCCTCTCTATAGTCGCTCAGCGAGCTATAGATAAGGTTAAGTTCTGTAAGATATAAATAATCTGTGTATCAATCTAAATGGATATCCTCCTATGGGGCAATCTATGGAGGAGGCTTTATCGTGGACTTTAATGAATATGTTAATATTTAATATGTGTGTATATATGAATACTATATACTATGTACTTTGCCTAAAAGAAGTAAAATTGCTCACAGCTAAACAACACCTTCTATTAATGGAATACATAGAGCTTAACAGTGAACTATTGCCATAGCAGCGATCACAATAGATCTTACAGGTCGCGGTGATACTAATCTTTCTATACATCGTATTACATAATATTTTATGTATTATTTATTAATAACAGATAGAAAAGAAAGTAGTTTTCCCTCATATCTTATCTTTGAATACCGCGCAGTTAACCTGTAAATAATTTAGCAGCACACGTAACGAAAATAAGGTCATATTTTCATTGATAGCAACTTATGTAACACAATGTTGTTATTTAGTGAAAAATTATATATGGAAAAATAATCAGAATCCGGGTGCACTTTAACCAAAGCAAACATCTGATAATCACACGCCGGTATATTGTAATTGATTGATTATTGACAATACTTTAAGGCGTGAGAGGTGTAATGGCTGCGTACGGCTAATCCCACCAAAACCATAAGTGAGAAAAGGGTGTCTCAAGTTAGATACGAGTACTAACAACGTTCGGGGTTGTCAGCTACGATGATAAAAGTGTTTATATATTTATTCATAAACGATGGGCTGTTTGTTGAGATCTGAACGGTGAAACACTGATTGAATTCCTTTATCGGGTTCCCCATCGGAATCACTTCGCAACTGTATTTATAACGTAAATTAAAATAAGATATCTAATATGTTAATGTGTGAAGAGAAAATTTTCTACCTCTTTTTAGGGTTCCGGACCTCAAAAGGAAAAAACGGAACCCTTATAGGATCACTTTGTTGTCCGTCTGTCTGTCTGTCTGTCAAGACCCTTTTTCTCAGGAACGCGTAGAGGTATCAAGCTGAAATTCAAATCAAATACTCAAGTCTGCTGTCCCTTGGAGCTGTGAAAAAAATCAAACTTCTAAGCCAACGCAATTAAAAGATACAGCCGTTTATGCCGCAAATTTTCGACATTCGCAAGGGAATCAAAACCTACAGGGTACTTCCCGTGAACTCAGAATCTTAAAATTTGGTACGAAGCAACGTATTATAGCACAGATAAAGGAAGAATTGCGAAAAGCATAAATTTTTAGTTACATCATATAATAAAAATATTTTTAATAATTTTAAACTCAATATACCTACGGATTTGTTCGGAACCGTCGGTGCGCGAGTCCGACTCGCACTTGGCCGGTTTTTTTATCAGAGCGCACGGATGATCGTAAGATTTGGCTTTATACTTATTACTACCATCAGGTGAGCAAGATGCTCGTCCCCTCCCCCCCCTTCTATAAAAATGTACAAACAGTCACTTATAAGTTCAGAAGCGTCAATAATGTTACTTGAGTACTTAAAGGGTGACTGACTGACTTACGCTTATTGAATTAGTCTAAGCCTTCCCTGAGCTCTTTGCATTCAACGAGTGCTTACTAGGATTCCGATATGAAAGGGGACAACTGTTTTTAGTAGTCCAAGACCGTTTGTCTGGCCCATGTGTAAATCGTGAATGACTCCTTCATTTGACCCGGGTCGTATCATAGTATTGATGATTGCAATAACATTTTTGAACGTTCCGCATCGAACGATTAACAGGAACTATAACCAAAGAGTAGGTATAGTAATGTCCGACAACCGACTTCATCGAGCGGATCTCACATATCACAGAGTACTGAAACTCGAAATAATCCATTTGAATGATCGACCCGAATGACCCGGTTCGTAAGACGATACAATGCTTAATGATCGGGTTACTAGAAATGAATGAATGATACATGTCTAACCTCCTGTAACTCCTACACTAGAGGTCGAATTTGACAAATAATGTCCTGATCGAAATGACATATTGCAAGAGTAGCATAGATTATAATATAACGTCAGTATTAAATAAATATAGCCGGAGTCGTGGGTGATATCAAATATCAAGAAAATCTTAAATGTCAGTACATTACCCAATATACGGAACACAGCAGCATTGAGCTGCTATTCTTATGCTTGGTATTCCGTGAGAGCGTGCTTTCCCGGTCCAGTCGGTCCATTCGTGCTACAATTATAATTTTTTTTATAGAAAAAGGGTGACAAACGAGCACACAGTCCACCTGATGATAAGTGCATACTGTGGCCCATAGATATCTACATCTATCGTCAATTAAGAGTCAAAATTCAGATGCGTTGTCACCCGTGAGGACTAAGATGGAACGCCTCTTTTCCAGTAAAATGGGTCTCCGGTTGTCTACACTCAGAATACGAAACACAGCAACATTAAGCTGCTATTTTATTTTATGCTGGTTTTCCGAGAGCGTGGTCCTTCTCTGGGGGCCGACCCATTCGTGCTACAACCATAATATAGCTGCAGCATAGCCCTACCATGTAACAAAAGACGTATTTTACGGGCTGACGTACAATAAGACTGTCTAATACCCTATTTAACGATTTAATTTTCTTATATATTTTTTTTTATAGGATCGAGTGACAAACGAGCACACAGTCCACCTGATGGTAAGTGGTTACTGTGACCCATAGACATCTACATCTATCCTCAATAAAGACTCAAGATGCAGATGCGTTGTCACCCGTGAGGACTAAGATGGAATGCATCTTTGCCAGTAAAAAGGGTCTCCGGTTCTCTACACTCACCATACGAAACACAGCAGCGTTAAGCTGCTATTTTACGCTGGTTTTCTGTGAGAGCGTGGTCCTTCCCCGGTCGAGCCGACCCATTCGTGCTACAACCATAATATAGATGCAGCATGGCTCTCCACGTACGTTTTATATATAGAATAATATAATTTTAAAATTAATAAATGGAAAAATTAATATATTATAATTTAAGCATCAGACACAGTTACAAATCGTTTAGGTGATAAGTCCACTTGATGTTATTTTGGTTAAAGTTATATCGGCCATATAATGCAATAAATATTTAAGATAGTAAATAATAAAAACATGTAATTAACCTAATGATATCCTTTCTAAAGCTGCGACACGTGTAAAGTTTTTTGATAAGTCTATCTGATGTCCTTGTGACTGAGCTCAGCTCGTGTATATGCGAGATTTTCCGTACTTTTATAAGGCTCACAATCGAGCACACAGTGCACCTGATGGTAAATGGATGCTGTGATATACGTAAATTTAAATCTAATTATTTCTTACATTTACGCGAACACTACACCTTGTAGAACAAGTTTTTACAGTTTTTATAGCATTTAAAACTTATTTTATAGTCCCATTTATTGGGGAATATAAAATAAGCTCACTAAACACATTTATTGTGTAAAATAAAATACTAACGCGATAAAATCCGTATCCTTACCTTACCGTAACCTTAATTTTCAGGGTTATTTATCAAAGAGTAGCCAAATTTTATTTTATCAATTTTTATCTATAAAATTAAGTTCAAATATATATAAAGATAAATCGTTGTTGCAGTTTTCGAAAATACGAGTAAATAAGGGGTCTACTTTCGACCCTTACGAATGTGTGCGTACGAAGTAAAATAGTAGGCGTTAGATATTTATGAATAACAATCAGTTAAAATAATGCATTACCACGCATTTTAAATTTAAAAGATAAAAAGGAAACGATTTTAGAGATTTTTTTCTCAGGTTATTGCAAAATAACCCTGTATGTTAACGACTTACCCTATTTTGTAGAGGACAAGCACGATATAGCATTATTTGTTGATGATACCTCTTTAATTTTCAAACTCAAACGGCAGTCAATTATGGTGATGTAAATAATGCTCTATCAACATTGTTACATTCGTTTAACGCCAGCTATTTGCTCATAAACGGCAATAAGACAAAATGTATTAAATTTACAATAGCTAATGTCAAACATTTAAATACCGATGTGCTCTTAAATGAGAAGGAGTTGAGTCTTGTGGATACCACTATTTTCCTTGGTATTACTATTGACGCGAAGCTTCAATGGTGTAAAGTTACTAGACTCCACAGAATCAGTAATTGATTTATGGCAATTTTTTTTTTTTTATAGGTGAGGGGGCAAACGAGCATGCGGCTCACCTGATGGTAAGTGACTACCGCCGCCCATGAACAACTGCAACACCAGGGGAATCGCAGATGCGTTGCCGGCCTTTTAAAAAGGAGTACGCTCTTTTCTTGAAGGTCCCTAAGTCGTATCGGTCCGGAAAAATCGCTGATGGTAATCGATTCCACAAGGAGGTCGTGCGAGGAAGAAAACATCTTCTAAATCGCACAGTGGTGGACCGCCAATCATCCAGATGGTGTGGATGGTATCGGGAGTTCTGCCGCGATGTGCGTTCGTGAAATTTGGCGGCTGGGATTAATCCGAACAATTCCTCAGAGCACTCGCCATGGTAGATGCGAAAGAAAAAGTATGTATACGCTTTTACAACAAAATCCCAGAAAATGTTCACTTTGTCAACAAACAATTTAAAAAGTTTTATTAAAGATTTTTTTTATTAAAATTGTACAAAAAGGGTAATTATAATATCAAAAAATACATTAACCATATTGGTGCTATTCAAATTCATTTAATAATTATAAAAAATATATAAATATGTTAAAATATATTTTGCTGGGTTTCTTGCTGGTTCTTGCCAGGACAGAGGTATTTTCCAAACCAGTGGTAAATAAAAAAAATAATTTCAATAAGTGTTATACTATATTGAATAAAAATCATTCCATTCTATTCTAATAACTATT